GACAAATCACGTAGAGGCCTCACCTGTAGAACGTCCTCGTCCCAAGCCGACAAGATAGCCAAAACTCCAGCAATGGCTCCAGCAATAAATGCAACATTCTTTGCGAATATCTCGGTCAATGCCGAGGTAAATTGGTTCAAATAAGCATTTGCATGGACATGCGACCTATTCAGACGTGCCGTCAGCTCATGATTAAGCTCATTGAAGTGCCTCATACGATACCTGGAATGAAGACAAATAAATACCCCATAGAAAAGCTATTCAGCTGAAGCTACTACAAAAGAAAGTATTCCGACCTGCCATAGTTCGAATACCGACGCATCCCCAAAGCATCACGACGACGTTTTATTAGTTCAGATAATGTGAAGAATGCGTACAGAATTTGATATAAAAATACCAAGGGGAAAAATATCAAATTTAAAAGTCCATACATGGCGACCTGGAAATAGTAGATATTCATTTTGAATAGCACCATACCTTTTATAGCAAGGGGGACACTTTTCAAATCAGCCGCTAATCGCTTCAGGGAAGGGTATCTTCTGCAAGGTACTATAAGGTGTAGGGTCACATAATGGGACCAGTTTCATTTGTTTAAGTCGACTATGCACGGGGTGGTTGATTGCAAATGAAATATTTCCGTATGAGCTTCATTTCCGCGCTTTTTTTCGATTTTTCTTCATTTCGAACTGCATCCAGTGCTAAAAGGTGCCAAGAAACGATTGCGGAGCCAGCATATTGAAAATTCTTGCTCAGGCCTAGCCTGGAAAAGAGCTCAGCGCATATGAGGGTGAACTAATTCACCCTGCCAAGAAACAAGTTTCTATCAATACGCTACGATATATGCAACACTTCATATTCAACAATTAGAAGTGAATAACATCAATGAACTGCTCTGGTCATTTCTAATCCATATTGGATGGTAGCGCGCGTAACAGGAGTTGACCCACAGTGAATAAGCAGCGCCATGTAATGTCAATATACAAAACCAGATATAAAAAACAAATTTGTAGCTTGCAGAACTTCACAAAATCGCCTCCTTCTCTTTCCCAAGCGAAAAACCGCCGTGGTTTAAAATGGGTCCAATTTGTTTAGAAAGTGTCCAACAGGATTTAAAAGGTGTTTGAATGAAAAGAAAATCACCAGATTTTGGGCAAAGGTATTAGAAAAGTATGTTCGTAGAAAAGTAGTATGCAGTAAAGCCAATTGAAGTAAAAAAAAAACAAAGATGGTTAATATGCACTCACATCTTTCTCCATTTGTCTTGTCAACAACTCAAGGTTATCCAGATCTTTGTATTCATCTTTCAA